TTTAGATACAGAACCTAACTTGTCAGTTATTTTTTTTTAATTAAGAATTGAGAATAGCGCGCATACATGACACTTAGACCATTGAACAATGACTTGGCTTACCAGAGTAAGGTAAATTGTCGATAAAAGCTTATACTGTATTACCCACAATTTCCAACCAGCGCCCTCGCTAGCGACTCAATGAACTATTGTACTTTGTTCAGTTTTACAAGTCTTTTGATTTTTTTTCCGGTTTTTTTCTATGATACCTACTATTTAGTCTTTTATATGACCAAAGTCTAGAGACATAGATCAGTAACGTAACTCAGAAATAACTTTAATGGAATCATTTTTACGATTTAGGTCACTTTGGTACTTTTTAGATACAGAACCTAACTTATTAGACATTTTTTTTTAAATTAAGAATTGAGAATAGCGCGCATACATATGACACTTAAGAACAATGACTCGGCTTACCAGGGTAACAGAAATTGTCGATAAAAACTCATACTGTATTACCCACAATTTGCAACCAGCGCCGTCGCTAGTGGTATGATGAACTATCATACTTTGTTCAGTTTTTTTATTTGTTTCTGTTCCTGTTTTTTTTTATGATATATGACATTTAGTGTTTTATATGACCAATGACCAGACTAATGTCCAGACCAGCATTTAGTAACACCTGCAATATCACATTGATATATTTTCTACTAATGCAATTTTCAGGGAATTAGATAAACATCGGATTGTCTAGCGTGTTCCAAGGAATAATTGTCATCAAGTTTGTATTAAATTATTTTCTATTTCCCCTACTACTCCAGTTATACGTGTATTATGTTTATTATTTATGAAACGTTCTGTAAGTCTAATGATAACACTACATCGTATATCTTGCCCCGTAGTTATGTGCCGTCAAAATCTAGTTATCCACCCTTCCACTGCAGGATGTAAAAGAATTATTCGCACCAAGTGCCACGTTGCTTTTGGTTTTTCATATTTCTGTCTTGTTAGGTTAAAATTGCGTATCAGTACAACCCTGGAATGTACGGTTAACTCACGGACCTTGGTTATTATGTATCCAGTGATATTTAGTGTTGTATTTTTATTTCTAGAATCCTGCAACGTTTTTTTAATCGAAATTCAATAAATATGTCTTTTTAAATAGTACGCGGAAATTCTAAAACCGTAATGCGCTTAAATTGAGTTGGGAGGTTTATAAAAATAAGCCCGTGTGAGTTCATCATAAAAAGACGCACACGCAGTCATTTTATTTGATTTCTGCACTTTGCATAAAATTGACTTCGAAATCAGCGCGTATACCATAATATTTCTATGAAGTGATCGATCGCGTCTTCCTCCGTGGCTTTTTGTCCGGGTCGTGGAGAATCCGCTTTCAATATAGGTATTCGAAATTTGGTAGGCGTGTTAACAATTCCAAATTCGCCGACTTTGAAAGACGCAGTGGTACTATTCCTGAATAACATTAATCTATTTACATAAAAAAAAAACATTTTCATTTGTAATTAGTGGATATATAACATTTTATATATTTAGTTCAATGTTAATCCATCCGAAATTCTAACGTTTACTTTTATTCAGATTCTTTGCAATCAAAACTTGAATTTAGCGCTTAAGTGAATACGACGGTTTGATAGCTTGTCTTTAGATGGCGCGCTAATCGAATAAAAAGTTGGTGTACAGAAAACTACACATGAAGTTGAATATCATTACGTAATCTACATTAATTCTATATTTTTGTGTTCTATGGCAAATATTGTGATCTTCAATTCACAATCTAGTCACACTACACCTATACTGATAACCACAAGTATGTCCAAAAGGCTTGTAAAACTGGAACCAAGCAGGGTAGTTCATCGTTTCGTTAGCGAGGGCGCTAGTTGCGAATTGTGGGTATGAACTTTTACCCTTAGAGCATATACTACCTGGAGGCAGCGTTCCAGTGACCGAGAGTGTAGCGGAGGTTGTAGAGGGAAAGAGAGAGAGGTATAGGAGGGNATAAAAAGGTGATGTACAGAAAACTACACATGAAGTTGAATATCATTACGTAATCTACATTAATTCTATATTTTTGTGTTCTATGGCAAATATTGTGATCTTCAATTCACAATCTAGTCACACTACACCTATACTGATAACCACAAGCATGTCCAATAGGCTTGTAAAACTGGAACGAAGCAGGGTAGTTCATCGTTTCGTTAGCGAGGGCGCTAGTTGCGAATTGTGGGTATGAACTTTTACCCTTAGAGCATATACTACCTGGAGGCAGCGTTCCAGTGACCGAGAGTGTAGCGGAGGTTGTAGACAGAAAGAGAGAGAGGTATAGGAGGGTATATGCTATCTCTTTCTAGCAGCATGCGATTCTGCCGTGAACAGCTGCTTCTGACGTTCACAGGAGGAGACGACGGTAGCTAATAGCGTGCTGCTAGAGAGAGATAACAGACTCTCTCCTATAGCATGTTATTGTTCAGTGGTCTAAGTATCATTTACTGATTGAGTTATTTGTAGGTAATGCACTAGATACACACTGGAAGGATCTACGTTTTCGTCAGGGGCATAGAAAGAAAAGTCATAAGCGGGAGGGATTCGTATCTGTCTTCGTTACATTATTATTGTGTGTGGCAATGTTGCAACGCGTGCGAGCGAATTGGATACGTCGCGCTGAAGCTTGTGTGCAAGCAAATGGTGGATACATCGAACATCTTCTATGCCAATATCCTTGGCAGGAAAAATGATATCGGATGGAGCGGGGTCGAGCGGGACTATCGCTCTTTATAGTAGTAGTAGAGTTGTCTGGATTTATAAGAGAAAAACAGTATTTGTCTCTTTAAAATAAGGACAAGTGTATAATTCACAGCCTGAAGGCAAAATAAAATTTCAGAAAACCGTTTTTACAGTTTTTAATCTAGGATTGCAAAATTTGTACTAATTATACTTTATTGCTTTTGTTCTTGACATACAATTTTATAAAATTTAATATAATGTAGGGAAAACTGTGCATATTATTTTTTCGTTTGGAAACAACCCTCTTTTAGACATTTTTTATTAAAAATTTGACTAGTTTTGCCTAGTATGCCTTAAACACCATTAAAAATAATGAAAATAATTTTTTAACATTGACTAATTTAGTGAGCAGGAAATGCAGGAATTAATTAATAAATAAATACTAGTAAGCCTTACTGATAGACAACCAACCTCACATGTAGTAAACTTTTTACTTTACCTGCATTTATTTTGGCACCACTTAGGCTAGCAAGTGTTTTTTACTCCGAGCTTGGCCATTTTGATCAAAACCATACTGGTGATGGCTGATAGCATTCTTCAAAGATTTTTAACTATACAGCGTGATTCATTAACAATGGGAAAATTGAACGCTGAAGGATACTACACGTGAAATGGTGACCATTGCATTGGCGCAAACATGCTTTATCCAAAAGTTAACAGTTTCTTAAATACAGGGTGTTTAAAGATAAAATTTTAAGTCGTATTTTGCGATTATTCTGAAAATATGTAGGTTAGGAACTTGAAAATTTGTGAAACTATATTTTTTTAAGCGACAAATAAGATGCGTGTTGCAATTTCAGCGTTGCTCAGAGAGGACGCTACTTACGACCAATTTTACCGAAAATTTAGTTAATAACTTATTACCCTGTATGTCTAACATGAAACTTGATTCAAAACCTGAAAGAGCAATAATTTCTCCATTATGTATTCTTGTTTCATTTCGGTATCGATCCGTTTTTTGAGAAAAATCGATTTTTCAGATTTTGAATTAAGTTTCATGTTAGACATATAGGGTAATAAGTTATTAACTAAATTTTCGGTAAAATTGGTCGTAAGTAGCGCCCTCTCTGAGCAACGTTGAAATTGCAACACGCATCTTATTCGTCGCTTAAAAAAATAGTTTCACAAATTTTCAAGTTCCTAACCTACATATTTTCGGAATAATAGCAAAAAACTATTTAAAATTTTAACTTTTAACACCCTGTATTTCTGAAACTATCAACTTTCGGATAAGGCAGCACCAATGGTCACTATTTCACGTGTAGTATCGTCAGCTTTCGATTTTCCAATTGTTAACGATCACACTGTATATTGTATATACAGAGTGAATCAGTCATAATGTCATTCATTTTAAGGGAAGATGAGGAAAAATGAGTAGAATACAAATGCGCTATTAAAAAAATTGTAAAATACATAAAATACTGACAAAAAATATTTTCAAATCATTATTTAAACCCTTTTTCGGACCCCTCCTGATCACTGACCCACAAATATTTACCCAGAGTGAATCTTGACATTACCATAATATGCGGATATTAACTTAGCTCCATCGAATAAAGACAGTTTTTTAGCTAGACACATGAATGAATAAGATATTTTTTTTACTTTTTAAATATTAACAAGTATTATTTGTTATTAAAAGCAAATGTATACGGATAATAATTGTTTTCGAATGTTAGGTTATACAATTTAGTATTTTTAAGATTCACTAAATTTTATCATTGAATATGAGTTTTTAAAATTACATATATCTCAATTAATTATTCAGTTTGTAGTACGTATACCCTATTGTGTGACTTATTGCTTTTCAATGAGTATGGTACCTTAAAATACACTGCGGCTAAAAAAAACACTGATTCATCCATGGGTTTGTTTTTAAAGTTTTAGGATCCCTTGCTCTTTGATTTTGAAACCAATTACAAAATTCTGGACGACTAGGTAAAAAATCTGATGTTTCGCTTGCCTTGATAAACTGTAGAAGCAAAGTGTGGCATTTTTGTATTCAATGACCAGGCGTGCCTCTGACTCGGCTCACTAGAGAATTCTCACAATTATTTTCAATTTTTTATACCTACCGATAATACCGTTGAAATCTATCCACAGAGAATCACCCTGTACATTTTAAACTGACGCCTCGTTTAAAATAAATTGGAATATGGATAAGGATACAAAGGTGATATTAAGACACTTTTACATAATATCATTTTATTACATGACAATTGTTTAGATATGCAGCATTTTGATTTAGAGTATTGTTATATTTAATATATTTGAATACTTTCCTTGCAAATAAATATGAAACATATTCATTAAAAATAAATTAAAATTGAGTAGCAAGATTGTAAGCTCATAAGTATATATTATGTATATAAGGTGGTTCAAAAAAATTGAGAGTATGCTCCGTCACAAATTTCTCCAATGTAAGTAATGCAATTTAGATCCACTCACATATACAAAAAAATTCAATTAATGCAATATTGTAATTGTATTGAATGTTGGTTTAAATATTTGTATTTTGATGTGGTGCAAAGTTCTCCCAACTTTTCTGGAACACCCTGTATAAAAGTTAAAAAAAAAAGTATTTTGCTTTTAGCATTATGGAATATTTTGTAAGCAGTCCCTAATCTGTAGCCAGGTTTGTAAACCCTGAAAATACAACACGAATTTCAAGAACCCCTATTTAAAAGGATATCTACACACTTACCTTTCTAGCAGTCTTTAGTTGTAAGTAAGTATAATTGCCGAGAGTATCCCTTAAATCCAAGACTTTCTGGTTCTGGAATCTCTCAATATCTGTTAAGGCGTTCGACGAAAAGTCACTGAAAAAACAAATACTTCATGATTTTCAAGAATGATACCTGATGTACTGAAATCATTAACTTATGTTATAAAATTTCCAAGAAAATGTCTCTTATTCTTATTTCTAATTGTTTTAAAATGGCTTTGGCAAAGATCAACAAAAATTAATCAGCCATGATAAGTGCAGCTAAATAATTTCTGCATTTTAAGGATTGATTTCCAAAGTGGCCTCATGAAATCAGTTGATACTTGATTATTAATATACAGGGTGATTCAGAAAGACCTCCCGTAAATTCAGGGGGTGATAGTGCGACAAAAAATAGGAATTTTTTTGTCTGATGAACTATATCTCCTCTTGTTTTCGAGATACAGAGTGACAAAATAAAATTTTTTAAACAGGATTTTTACGAAAATTTCCCAACGGTGCGAAATATTTTTATGAAATTTGGTATCCCGAGATTTTTAAGGATGCCAAATGCGTTGGTCTAATTATTTATTAGATATTTCATAGAGGACGCTAGTTATGCTACATTCGTATTACATTTTAAGTTCTAATGTTTTTGAGGTTAGGTTTTTTAGCATTCGGGCTCCAATTTCTAATGTATAATTTTATTTTCTAAAAATAATGTACTCTTGTTAGAACTTCCTAGTGGTTTTCGAGAAAAAAGGCATTTAATTGAACTCTTACAATATTACAGTGTAGAAAATAAGTGACTTTTCTCAAAGTAGACTTATGTCAAAACTTATTGATGGATGTCTCATAAACAACGCATACATTCTCAGTAATATTTTAAACTCTAATTAACTTTATATCAAAATTTTAGTGCTGTAAGTAGGTAGTCATTATTAACTGCAGTCACTAACAATCACTAAAATTTTGATATAAGGTTAATTAAAGTTTAAAATATTACTAAGAATGTATGTGTTGAGTCCACATTAGGAAGTTCTAACAAGACTACATTATTCTTAGAAAATAAAATTGTACATTAGAAATTGGAGCCCGAATGGTTCAACAAAATTTGAACTTAAAATGTAATACGAATGTAACATAACTAGCGTTCTCTATGAAAAAAAATTCTTATTTTTTGTCATACTATCACCCCCCTGAACTTACGGGCGGTCTTTCTGAAACACTCTGTATATATTATACAGGGTGACTTGACTAATTTGCAATTAAATGAACCATAATATGTATTATAGAAAATAATAGTTTTGTAAATACGTTAATTTTTGTATTTTTTGAGAAATGTTCCAGTCTAAAATTTTAAAAAATTACATTTTTTTTATTCTATGTTCTGCTGTAAAGACAATAATACAAGCTAACATACGACACTCTAAATGTTGCAAGAAAATTAAACTGAACTGTACATTAATGTTTATTAACATAAAAAATTTGTAAATACGTTAATTTTTACGTATTTTTTGAGAAATGTTCCAAGGCCTAAAATTTAAAAAAATTACATTTTTTTATTCTATATTCTGTTGTAAAGACATACGACACTCTAAATGTTGCAAGAAAATTAAACTGAACTGTACATTAATGTTTATTAACATAAAAAATTTGATAATATTCCTGTAAAAACATCTGTGCCAGATAAAAGGGAAAATATTTTTATTTTTCATTTTGTTATCAGATAATCGATAAATATAAAAACCGTTCAAGAATAAACAGCCTTTATTTTTAACAATATAGAAATATATTATTAAGGAAAGTTGCTTAGAACTGAAATTTATATTATAACTTCAATCAGTGTATGAATCGGCCTACTTTGATAGAAACGGGCAGTAAAACATTTTTATTGTTATTCTTTCGAGAAAAAGGCATCATTGATTAAAATTTCTGCTTGTCTTTGAAATGCGGTTGGCATGGAGAATTTTTATCTTGCATGTACAGGGTGATCAGAAAATCGGTAAATAAAAAAATCGTTCAAGCATAAACCGCCTTTTGCTCATCATAAAAAAAAACATAAAGCACACCACAGAAATGGGACAACCCCCAAATCCAAAGCCAAAGGCTGTGGGAAAGGGGACTACACTTTTGAAAAAAAATTTCCTGCAATGTAAGCATAGGAATAACTGTCACTATTATTCAAAAGCCGTATCACTTTTCATTATGACGGTTGTTGTCAAACTTTTTTATTCTATGCAGTTTAAATACAAGCCAAAATTTTATTCAAGATTTTATTTTCTCATAAAATGAACAATAAAAATGTTTTACTGTTCGTTTCAGTCAAAGTAGGCTGATTCGTACACAAACTAAAGTTATAATATAAATTATTTCAATTATAAGCAACTTTCCTTAATAACATATTTCTCTATTGCTAAAAACAAAAGCAGTTGATTCTTGAACGATTTTTATATTTTCTGATTTTCTGATCACCCTGGAATCTGGAATGGTGGCGAGGGTAGCTTTTAAAGCTACAGCACTTAGGCCCCTGAGCCATTAGCCAACTACTACAGGGAAAAAGGTGGTGACATTGCTCAGGGGGATCTCTCTAATATAGGCCATTGAAGGCCAGCGCTCTTCCAACATGGACGCTCTTGATGACGAGAAAAAATGAAAGTTGTCCATACCAACTGCATTTTAAAGACAAGTAAAAATTTTAATCAAGAACGAATGCCTTTTTTCGTAAAACGAAAAAAAAAATATTTTCCCTCATTTCCACTAACCACGGACATACTTACTGTATGTTCATAAAAGAAAAAATGTTTGAAATTAATCTAGACACCATCTGTCAAAGTTTGTCATAGAGCTTGTATCACCATGTATGTATAAGGCGATATGCTCTATTGCATTGTTGAAAGGTTAAATTATACTTACGTTTTCTTAAAATTTTTTAAATGCCTGCGTCAGATAATTTATATTCTAATACCACTTGTCTTTCGGATATTTCTGGTTTTTTGTTAATTTATGCCAAGACATTAATTTCATTTGCAGTTCAATTACCAACACGATTTCTTACGTTTTTTTAAAGTATCACGTTGTAATCGTCTGTATAAATGTTGGAAAATATTTCTATTTGGGTATCCTGGGATGCATCTCTTCACCGAATATCAGTTACACTGCATGTAAACATTGCACACATCTGTCTTTGCATTTATTAAATATTACAAACAAATAATTAAAACACTTGAGCACTTATTTACAGCAGTAAGTGTTAGGTTGTTTATTTTTAAACAGAAATGTCAAAATTTTCATTTGTTTTTCATGGCTACTCCGATCAAATTAAGTAAAACATAAAATTGATGGTATTTTAGTAAAATATCCATTATGGCGTCCATAAGAACATCAAAAGTAGTTAATGAAAACATAAGGATCTAGGAGGTCCAGAAAATGTTTTAACCTTCCAACAAATAGAATATGTCGCCTTGTGTGTACATACCGATTTTCATTACATTCACACTCAATAAAAAAAGATATGAACGAAATAAGCCTAGATTTCTGTTTTTTCAGTTTATTTTAGGAACGGCGCAATTTATCTCCAATTTATTTTTATCATAATCCGAAATAAAACTATGCAACTTTTTTGTAATTTAAAAGAGACCACCCTAAACACGAGGTATTTGGTACAGAAGAGCATATATTAATTCATTTTTACGAGCATTTTAGGAAAATTTTTAGAATTAGCTTAAACAGAAGCTAATAACAAAAAAACATATAATTATGAAAAAAATAATTTACCTCAGACTTCCCTTGGTAACAGTAACAGCCGAGGCACCCTCCTGTATCTGCTGGTCCAACAAGTTCACTTTGAACTCCCTCACCTCATCGGTATCAACAGCACCGAACAATCGAGACATCAATCCCGTCTTGCCCTGCTGCACCTTAGTTCTTTCGACGTTTTTATTCGCAACGATCTCTTCAGCGTCCTCCAGCTGTAATTGAAGCATTTCGTGGTTTTTACAAATATTCTGGAGGGACAGTGCGAAGAACAAATATTCCTTTAACTGATCTGCTAGTAGCTCTTCGTCTTCTAGACTCGCATCGATACTGGAGGCTAGAGAATCTAAGTAATGCCCAGTTTTCTGTAAAGCGTCACCCATTTCCTTTTCAATAGCGCTCCACTCGCTGAAAACGCGTCCATAGTTCGCATGCAATTTGTGGATAGTGTATTCTTTCTCTGCTACCCTCGATCGAGCTTTAAGCAAGTTATTCAAATTCGTATATAACGTCCCCCCGTAATCTCTAATGGCCTCAAATTTAGGGTCGGCTTTCTTCAATCTCACTGACACACTAATACTTTTTAACTTGTTCTCGACTAATTGCAAATAACCTTAAAATTGCCCCGATATAAGAAATGTTACAAAGTATATGCATTACTCACCATTAGACTTGTACGATTCTCTCCAACCTTCCTCGTGCTGCAAGAATTCAATGAAATGCGCATCCCAGGTAAGTATCGGGTGAGCTGCAATCCTTAACAAGAAATTTTCTAGTCCAGCCCTTCTTCGATCGATGAAATTTGGATCAAATGTGTCATTGGATATTTTCTGCCATCCGAACATAACTCGCTTTTCTGGTAGTGGTGGCAAGACGATGTAGGGATAAGTAACTTCTAAGTAATCTCTTAGTTGTTCGAATTCCGTGTAGCGTCGCCATACTGTCGTTAGTTTGCCTAGCTTGTACTGGCAATTCGGATCAGTCAGTCTGTAAATAATATACATTAAGTACTTAAGTATATATAAAAATCCTTTCATTGTACAAACAGTAATTATTAATACGATGACCTTTATCCTGCAATTACATATAAATCAATACTGAATATGGATCTTACTTGGTTTCGATTAAGTATACTGTATAAAAGTCTCTCAAATTTAGAGACCCATTAGCACGTTTTTCCGATTCTGAAACCGATATCTCTAGATGATTTAGTAGAGTATCCTGTAAATTTTCAAAAAATTTTAGGTTAGACTGAATAAGCAAAATTGTTTTACTCACCAATGTTATTGGTATTAAAGGGGCGTTACTACTACTGGAAGGAATTGATATTTCCTTAACATTATCCATTATAATTCTTTTGTTATTAAACAATTACACCCATGTTATAGTACAAATACCTTTGATATGTTTGCTCTTCTATTTTAGTGTCGATAATGAGTGCAATTTACAGCTTAAATAAATAAGACCGCCTTATCTTTTACTTTAGTTCTACTTCCAAAAAATGTTTACAAATGCGAGATAAAAATACATAATTTATTGAAGCCCCGGATCTTGAAAGTATAAACTTGCCTACTTCACTAACTAATAAAATTTGCAACAATGGACGTAGTAAATAATGATAACTTGAAAACTAGTTTGCAGGATACATACATTTTTAGTACTTTCAACTTTGCAATAAATAGTTTTTAATGTATAAACAATTATTTATTTACGATTCGATTCAACATTGTTTAAAAAAAATGGATTAATTCTTAACTTCCAGCGCCATCTAACATAAGTTGAATTGAATCAATGGTAATTTAAAAAGTTAACTTGCATTTTGCCCTCTTTGCATCAAAACAGAAAATTATGAAATTGTTGTCAGACAATTATAAGTTATTATTTTTGCAATTCTGAACAAAAAAACATTGTCATATTGTAATATTTAGAAATCAGCAGGAAATAGTATAAAAAGAGACATACATATATATCTATAGAGATCCATATAGTTCTGGAACTGATGCTTTGATTGGAGCACAGGAAGTCACGAAATTCTGCGAGTGGTTTACTCATGGAGATTTGACGAAACAAGGTAAGATCATCTTACATTCCTACAATGCCAAAATTCATTGGTAGTATATCTGACAGATACAATTGACATCTGACGTAACAATGCGTCATCTGTCACGTCACGTCGAGCTACCCGCCTATCTGCAATCGCATGGTTAACTGAGATGATAAAATAAAAAAAAAACTATTATCTGTATCTCGTAAAACATCTAAATCCCTATTTTTAAACAGTGCGGTAAACTATTGTGTTTTTTATAATTTTAAGTTGGAATGGACAGATTGAACTTTTTTCCCAGAGCTTTTTGTCAAGAGGTAGGTAAGTCTCGAAATTTATATTCTACTACTGTTAGCTTAACAATTACGCATTTGCAGAAGTATTGTTGATATTCACAGATTTTTTATCCAGGGAATTTGTACGTTCAATATTGATTAGTTTCTGTAAATGTCTAGGTAGTTTATTACTAGTGACGTTACAGATTTTTACTAAAGGCAAATTTTTAAATAAACTGGTTGGCCTAATTGATAAAATACATGCAAAGTAATTAGGTAATAAGCGTGCTGGATGATGGATGCGTTGAAAAACCGATTTTAGGCAGTTATAGTAGCTTGTTACTAGATTATTACTATGTATGTAAACATAGTATGACCTGTGATTATTACTAACTGAACTGCATGCCTATAATCAGGAAATGTACTCGGAAATGTACAAGTCATCAAAAAAGTATATTTTAAAAATTGGTATTAGTTATTGTGTTTTCCTTTTTTTCATTTGCTTAAAATATTAATAGGGTACAAATTTATTAAGCATGTAAGTACGTCCTAAAATAAGGTTATAAAAAAATGCAATAGGAAGGTCCACATCAATTAACGTTCATCAGTGTGGTCAGACAAACTGACTAATTAGGCAATTAAAGAGTTGTAGTTAACAGACTAGATAACAGACAGTAACTAATAAACACTTAAGTAAGTATACCCATGTATTGTTCTTAATTTTATTTAACATTAAAATTCATAAATTTCTGCATCAAATTTTTAATTACTTTAATTAATAATTAAAAATAAAAGATTGTTTTAGGTAGGTATTATAAACCTGAATTAGTGAAATGTAATATTTTCTTTAAAATACTTAAATAATTTGGTACCTATAGGTATCACATTTATTTTGTAACGTGTATTTGATTACGTTGGCATTGACAGAGGTCAATTCAACTGTTGAGAAGCAAATGTCAAAATCTCAGCTAATGTGATTATAACTGAGGAAGCCGACACAAATCCCTTTTCCTTTGAGAAACCATGCTTACATTGCTTAAACTCGTACTAAACAATTTAAAATGAATAAATCGTAGTGGTAACGAAAACAATTAGGTTCTTATTCAATATTTTAATTATTACAACCAACATAATTATTGTACTTGATTGTTTAAAGCTTATAGCCTTATGTCAATAAAAATCACGCATTATAAGTACAAATGTCATACCTATTTTAAAGATAACAGTTTACGTGAACATGACTCTTCTATCTTCTGTTAGATACGAAAAACATACTTATATTACAAACACACCCGGAATACTGAAATATGTAACATCTTACCTGCATGAGTACTTTTTGATTTGAATAATTAAAAATTGATGTTTATCGTGCACCGTGTCAAGTGGACATGATATTAAAAATAGAAATTCCAATATGTACGACACAAGGAAACAACCATAAATTTCTGCTTGGACGGATACTCAGCTATTGCACATATTTATTTTCGAGACTGGAAGCCTTCAATGTCGCAAGATTCTTCACAAATTATTTTTTAAAATTGAAATTACTTAATATAAATTTAACTTACGTAATGTTTAATACTGTCTGATAAGGAGTAGGTACATTTAATAATGTACAGAACTGGCTTAGAGATTGACACAAGTACTCGATCGTATCACTATTTTTGTTATTCTAGGCCACTTGATTTAAGCTGCAATAATTCGTAAATGCCTTACACTGATATAGTCAAATAAGTAAGATATTACATCCAGTTTAAATAAGAAATCTATCGTTACCGAGTGAATAATTTTTCGAAAAATTCTGAATCCATTCCTGGCGGAAAAATAAGATAAAGAAAAATCTCGAAAACGTCAGTGCTAATCTCGTTATCGGCACCACCAGTAGTAGTAATCGCGCATAATGTTCATTCTTGTGATGAGGAAAATACTTTGTTAATTATCTGCACGTTTTATTGCAATGACTGTGGACTAGGAACAGATTTAACATTTCAGGAGTTTTGTTGGAAATAAGTTACCTTATGATGAAACACCAGGTAAGTCAGTGAAAAATATGGTTGAAAATGAGGAATGTGCGAAAAGAAACATTTTTCTTGTCGATGTCTTATAACCTCTACTGATAAGTCGCGAAATAAATAAAAGTGTAAATAAGTCGTGGAATTGTTGTGGTGATATGATTATTAGAAAAGCAAATAATATCACGTATGATGGTTTCATTAGAAAAATTAATTTTAAAATCAAAACTAGATATTATTAGTTATGTAATATTGAATTAGAGATAAGATCTAAGACCAGCCGGACGCCACTGCTAGTTACTATAACATTGTTTCGTTATTAAATATCATTGATACTGAATATCCCATTTTCATAACCTTTCAGTGACGATTTTGGATGCATTTAGTTTGACTGAAAAAGAGGTTTCGAGTCTCTTATGTTTTTTTTAGTTTATTTATTCATAAGTTAAATCATCTACTGCAGTTTAAATACATCAGAAGTACTCGTATACCCTGAAGTCTCAGGTATACCTAATTTTTTTAATCATTGTTTTCCGCAGAACACAAATTGATATTTTTAGATAAACATTTTTAGTCACGATTTATGTGAATGTCAACTAATCGTGAAGAAGGTCACATTTTAGAAATAAAATCGAGGATTTTAATAATTTCGCGTGATCTGTAACTGTTTTATCAAATTTATTTTGAAACAACTTAAATTTATTCAAGAAATAAATTATGAACACACTATTTTAATTTAATAGTCAAGTTTTAATTAGAAATTGCAATAATAATTTTCTGTTAATTTATTAATTTGAATTTGTTCTTATCAAACGAAATATGTCACAGTTTTGAAATGTAATAAAAATAGAAATATTTTTACTAATCTTAATAAGTATACAGGATGTTTCAGAATTAATTAGTGAAATTTATATTTGTCCGGTCATACAATAATGTAATGAAGAAATTCTTCGTTTTTGAATTATCAGGTCTTTGCTCCTTGATTCTGACAAAATCCACCACAACATGAATAAACGAATATGACACAAAGTATTGAATATTCAAAAGTAGTTCTTAGAATTTCGAGTAGAATTTATAACTGTTTCATAACTATTTTGCACAGTAAAAAAAATGACCAACTGTTTCACATTGAATTAACTGTAATATACAAAATTGATAACAAATTTTTGAATAAATTGTAATAATAGGACTGCCTCTAATTTTTCAACAATTTTTTAGTGAACCCAGGTACATTTTCTTTTTCATCCTCATTATTTTAACTAACGTTAAGTTTTCAGTGTTTTATCCACCAACCAATAGAATAGAAGCAGCACACACATTATTTTATGCCCTTTTCCTTATCATTGACAGTTTCATTCTAGTCATAAAACAAGTAGAAGGTACATTAGTTTAGTACAGTAAATATGAAAATCAACTATTAAAATTATTGGGAGGCGATACCAAATAAATATTAATAGTTAAATTTGGCTCTACTGAGTACTTAATTACAATAAAAAATTTGACTGTCTTTCATCAATTTGAGGAATTAGTCGAACAAAGTAATCGCAATCTGTTTTAATTTTCGTTTAATAATATTCTTGTCCTTCTGCAAACTTTTAGCCGACCCCATTGAATGATATGACCGTTTTACCAGACGTGATCGCAAATATTTGATTTTTCACATTCTCGTTTTTTTTGTGTTCGTCTATTTTAATATTTGCAAGTCGAGAGGCTCCCCCAGTAGGCCAAGCAAATAAGATTTTTACTCGAAAAAAGTCCTATCCGCGAGATTGTTGTAAAATTGTCTAAAGGAACATAATACAAGACATCTCTCATGTCAAAAACGTGAGTCAAAAACTTTTATTAGCTAACTTTTCTATTTAAACAAATAAGTGAGGAAAACAGTTAATTCACTTTGCAGGGAAAACCATTATTTTTAGCGAAAAGTGACTCCCAGACAGCTTGTAGGGAGAAAAATTATCTACAAAATGAGACTTGTTAAATTAAAATCGGTTAATAAACAAAAAAGTTATTGCAAAAAAACAAGAAAAGTGCCCATTTTTTAATTTGTTTATAACTATCGCATT